GTACTTTGGTCTGAAATGTATATAAAAGAGAAACATTTATGTTCAAGTAGGAAACATGCTTTTTGGTACTTCTTTTGTAAATAAAGATCATCAAAATTTATATTCAAGTAGTCAAAATGGTTTTTGGTACTGCTTTATATTTATTTGCCCCCCTCAATAAAATAAAAAAAATGCGCCCCCCCAAAAATAAATATCACCAGCCGCCACTGCCCTGCAGCATAACAAAAGGCAGCTTAACTTAGCCCCCCCCCACGGCCCATCAAATTATTATTGATGATAGATCCAACACTCCATGAAGCAAAGATGATGAAGTGTGTTTTTGCTTTTTCACTTGGTCAGTAATCGTTCAGTTCAGTCTGTACTGCATATGCGCCACCGGGGTGCAGTATGGCTCGGGTCTGCTTAGGCATGTATTACTGAATGCTGTAGAAGCGCTGTTGCTGTGAATTTAAGGAGGGAGTTAACCGTTCAGTTAGCTAATGACTTCTATGTTTCGATGTTACAGTTTTACCGTGTGATGGATCCATCACCACTCCATTGTGGTGAAGGCCAACCTCTTTAAACGTATCACGTTTAAAAGATCAAGCTGAGTGTCGACTATGTTGAGGAGCCAGGCTTCACAGTCTGGATAAGTCCATTTGGCTCACGTGCATTGAGACCAGAACAAGATCTATTGGCCTTTGCGTCAGAATCAGTCTATTGGCCCTTGCGTCAGGACCAGAGTATCACTTGAGGTAGCTCTATAACATCCACTTCCAAGGCCTGTTCTATAACACAAGGGATCACACTACTCTGTAAAATTTCCGAAATCATTATTTGTCTCGTAACGCCATGAGCACGATTGATGATAACATTGTGACAAATGACAAAAAAATTACTTGTACACGGCCATGCAGCAAGGACAGCCAAAATAATTCCTCTTGTGGGCCAATGTTAGTTTTTAGTCACCACCTTTCTGAGATGACAGCACATGTCATAATGATGAGCAGTGAGTGACGTGAGACGTCAGATCGTGAGACAAGCAAGATCGGTGAGGGACGTGAGACCAAGGAATATTTTCCTAAAGCGTACTGCATTAAAGCGCAATGTGTCAGTTTCGTGCAGACGCTGGGAGAGGAAGGAGTTGGTGGTTAAATTTACTCCCTCATTTTCTCACGCATTTTTTTATCATTCTCTTTACCAATTCCTCCTTCATGCATTGGCTAATTTCTCATATTGACTCACTTCATCCTCTTACTCTCTTCTCTTATTCAAATTTGTATTTGCACCTCATGCTGTGGTCTGGAAAAAAGGCAGCAAAACAATTGATTTTGCAATGCACATAAGCACGTTAGCATTACAGAGTGTCAAGTGTTGTCTTCCACATAAGCATGTCTTTCTTTTGTTTTGATGATAGGATTTCGATTGGTACCAAATTTGCACACGTGGCTTGAAAATATTGGTTGTATTTAAGGTTTATTCAATGTGGCACATACGTACAATGGAATATTTATATATATATATAAGTATGTATACACAAAGACAGAGACATATCAAATTTCACATTTATTTGTTCATTTACAAGTGTGACATGAGTCACCAAATGACAACAGCAAAAGCAAATAAAATAAATTGCAGCTATAGACTAAATTGAAAGAAGAGCAAAAACTCTCATCAAAATTCGAAAATATTGCAGATATAAATAATTGTTAAATAATAAGCTCTATATTATGTAATATGGCTCATGCAGATTTTATTCAACTGATCATTGCACAATCACATTACATAAACATTCAACAGAAATAGGGTGATTATTGTACTGTAACAATTCAATGTCCAATTAATCACAAAATTGGAAGTCCTAACCTTGCTTTCCATGCTAACACATTCCTGCGGAGGGAGCTGGTAGGAACGTTGGATTGTTTGGTCAATGGCCAGGTCAGCGGCGGCGTGGTGGTGTATTCCGCAAATATGGCCAACTGTGAGGGCGGGCACAAGCCGACGTGAGTACGTTAAACGTTGAGTTTTATAAGGGCACCACGGGGTGACCAGCCCCTCCCCACCCAGCCCTACCCCTCCCACCCCCCACCCAGCCCCAAACAACCACAGCTTGGGGCGCCCCCAACAACCACAGCCTGCAGCGGCCCCCAACAGTCTGGTCAAGTAAATCCTTACGATTCACTCGCACAGCGTGCGGTGGGCCTTCATCCAGCAGTGGATTTAAGCACCAAAAAAACTCGAGTACTAATGTAATGGACAGAGTACGGCTCTCCCTCAGGGCAGCAGTGGACAGAGCACGGCTCTCTCTCAGAGCAGCAGCGGAGCAAGCACGGCTCTCCACCCAACCACTGGTCACCCACCCCCTCGCGTACCGTGCCGGCCTTCGTAGGTGCCGGCCTTCGTAGGTGCTCGCTAACAGCACTTGTCCCATCAGTCTGTTAAAACAATACGGGGGATCTTTGTCTTTGTGTGTGTTTGTATGTGTGTGTATGTTGAACGTCTTTCGCACCACCGTGCATAGCTAACCACACTAATCGGAGGTGTGTGGGGGAAGGATAACAAACTACAAGCAGTTCAAAAAAAAGTGCATAGCTTCAGTGGCTTCCGAATATCAGAAGGAAGAGCGTTCCACATGGCCGCATATGAAAGTGCGCGATGCAGTGACTGGCTTTGTTCGATGGCGAGCCAAAAGCCGCTGCTGATGCCAAGATGAGTGGAGAGATTGCGTGATGATGACGTATGCTCTTTGACGAGATCAGCAAGGTATTGTGTATTTTGAACTTCTTTCGCATCGTATGACGCTAACCGTACTAATCGGAGATGCGAGGGAAGGACAACAAACTAAAGACAAAAATCAGTAATAAAGAAATGAGTTTTCACTCTAGATTTAAAATTGCACAGCTCCCAGTGGCTTCTTAATCGGATTGATAGATGCTTAGCTATGACTGGCAGGTTAGTATAACTAGGAATAATGTCTTTAGCGATCGGTGTGAATAGGTTCACCCTCAATTATGTACATGAGTATGTTTGCGTTGTTCATGAAGGTGGAATGCCTATGCGCGTGTGATTCTCGTTAATGAGTTAATTTAGGGACAAAATTGTCGTTGGTTATTAGTGACGCAGGTAGATTGCTGTTGGTGTTTTAAAATTGTTACGTTATTATACATAATAAAGAATCGATTGATAGGCCTGAAGGGAAAGAGTCGGATAGTCGTTATGAATTTAGTTTAGTGTTAAATTCGCACGAGCAGGATTCGGTCGTTAGGGTTTAGTGAAGAGGCGGATTGAGTGATTATAAAAAATAAATTTACGGATTTATTATAACTGAAGCACTCATACAGTTGGCCGAGTTGCACACAGTTAATAAACAAACAAACAAAACAATGAATGAATCGAGTTCCTGAACGAATTCATTATAAGGTCGTCTTCATTATACACACACACACACAAAGTGCCTCTTGACACAAAATGAATCACAATCACCCCGCTGCTGATCTCGTCAAGGAGCAGAAATCATCATCACGCGAACTCAGGAGGTCATCCTCGCAGCAGTGGCGGCTTTTAGCAAGCCATCAAACACACGACCTCCTGTATACCAGGCGAGGTAGTTAAAATATAACCTTTTATTTTACTAGGTAAGACCCACTGAGCGATACAGCTCTTTTTCAGAAGCGATCTAGCCACAAATGATAGCTCAACGAAATGGCTTATGATCATGTGGAAATTTATCGCAGCCAAATACTCTAAATGCGTGATGTTGATGCTAAATGTGGAGGGAAAAAATCGGAGGACCCAGATAAAAAAAATCCACACAACCACGGGGAGAGAAAGAGATACGGAAACTCCAAATACAGCAGGCACCAGGCTCGAACCCACGACCTCCTGTATACCAGCCGAGGTAGTTAACATATCCTAATCCACCGTGGCATCCAGCAGTTATAAATCGGCCACGTGTGATATTTTACTGGGAGACAATTGTCATATTAGGCTGTGTGGAGAGTGAGGAGGAAGTGTCATATTTTGATTCTTGAATTTTCTCGAAACACATTTCACACCCAAAAAAATACCCTAAACGGAAACCACACTTCGCGTCAAATGATCTTGGGAAATGTACGCGGAAATGTTCCCATGGCAGGAGACTTCAAGGCGTTTGTCTCCAGCGATATTCGATCTCGAATCCATTTTTTGCATTCTTGCACGATGGCTGCATTCGGTAATGGTCCATCCTCTCAGCAGCGGCGTTTGGCTAGCTTACAGGTTGCTGAACGAACGCATGATCAGAATAAGAATATTTATTATATACTGCAGGGCGAGAAATCCGATGAGCTATAAAGCTCCTTTTGACAGATGTCCAGGAGGGGCAAGGGGTCGGAACCTTACAATAAAAACAACACCAAACACAATACAGAAACACGATAGGAGTGCAAAATACAGGAATGGTAAACTGACCCACTCATTACACACAAAGCGCGTTCCACAGATGGACCACAATACCTGACCAATCTCATCAAGGAGTGTAAACCACCATCACGCGAACTCCGCTCACCTTCGCAGCAGCAGCGGCAGCAGCGGCTTTTGGCTAACCATCGAACGAAGACGGTGGCCACCGCATTATTGCGCGGTGCTTTGAGATGCGCTTCTGGGGCCATCTGGAATGCTCTTCCGATATTAGGAAGCCACTGGGAGCTATGCACATTTACATCATCTCGATTGGAAAACTTTTTTCCTTTAGAACTGCTGGTGTTGTTTAGTTTGTTTCCCCCCCCCGCAATTCTGATCAGCATGGTCGACTATGTACGGTGCCAAAGAAGTTCAACACTCCGATACACGTGCAGCTTCTTTAATCTATTTCAGTTCCCCCTTCTTTGTTTTGTAATAACACCGCCTGCCACCCCGAAAATCTTCCACATCCCCAAAATCGAGTCCACTTCCTCACCTGACGAGCCACCCACTCACCCACCCACCCAACCAATCCAATCACTCATCCGACCGAATACAGTTTTCGTTGGGACCGCGTCCCCTCTGGTCTATGGTTCGCTGGGTGCCTTGCGACAAGACTGCTGATCGTTTAAACAACAAAGTTAAACAAGTACGCCGGATGCTTTGTTACTTAAGTGATACAGCTGAGCTGAGCGAGTGAGCGACTTGACAACGTGGGTGGCCGTGATTCGCTGGATCCCATCTCGACGACGATGCTGCTGCTGATACTGCTAATGATGCTGCCGCATATAAGGTGATGAAAACGCACATTGACGTCTGCCTCATGGCAGGTGGATTAATTTAGTTTTAAAACTGAACTAGTCTTGGTTTATGAAGAATAACAATTATGATTATGTACATTTGTAAAGTGGCACGTTTCATCCGTAAAAGCCATCAATACGCCACCATGTATGGGAAGCCAGGAAATAAATATAACCTGCAGGGTAACAAGGCCAGAACTAGGGGCTAAAGGCCAATTTACCCACTCACTCACCCACCAACTCACCAACTCACCTGCTCACTCGCCCACTGGCACGTCCGTTCAATCGCTCACCCACCACCCACTCACTCAGCACCAGGGTAAACCACTCATCCACCCACTCACTCAGCACCAGGGTAAACCACTTACCTACCCACTCACTCAGCACCAAGGTATAACAATCACCCACTCACTCAGCACCAGGGTAAATCACTCATCCACTCACTCACTCAGCACCAGGGTAAACCACTCACCCACTCACTCACTCAGCACCAGGGTAAACCACTCACCAACCTACTCACTCAGCACCAGGGTAAACTACTCATCCACTCACTCAACACCAGGGTAAACCACTCACCCACTCACTCAGCACCAGGGTAAACCACTCACCCACTCACTCGCCCACTCATTCGGCACAAGGGTAAACCACTCGCCAACTCACTCAGCACTAGGGTAAACCACTCACCCATTCACTCAGCACCAGCGTAACCCACTCAACTACTCAGCACTAGGGTAAACCGTTCAACCACCCACTCAGCACCAAGGTAAACCACTCACCCACCCACTCACTAGGCACCAAGGTAAACCACTCACCCACCCACTCACTCGGCACCAAGGTAAACCACTCACCCACCCACTCACTCGGCACCAGGGTCAACTACTCACCCACACGGCACCAGGATAAACCACTCACCCACCCACTCACTCGGCACCAGAGTAAACCACTCACCCACTCACCCATTCACTCACTCAACACCCACTCACTCAGCATGTATATCTCCAGTTGCTTCCTAATATCGGAAGGAACCGAGTCTTGACCTCGGAGTCAATATATATTCATATTATTCTCTTAAGGGGCGCCATGGTGGCCAGGAGATATTGTCTTCCTCTCCTGGTATGCCGGAGCCCGCTGGTTCGAGCCCGGATCCTGACTATGCCTGCTGCTGCTGCTGTATGTTTGGACTCTCTCTGTCTCTCTCTGTGATGGTCACTGCGTGGAGTTTGTCTCCGGGTCCTACATGTTTTTTACCTCCACATTTAGAATCAACATCACGCGTTCGGACCGTTGAGATTGTCGATTATTTGGCTGCGTGGAAGCGACTGAGAGCTATGCACTTTTACATCATCTAGATTGACAATTAATTTCTTCAGAACGTATTTGTGTTTAGTTTGTCCGTCCCCCGCACCTCCGATAAGCACGGTTGGCTATGTACGGTGCGAAAGAAGTTTCAATATACATACACACACGTGCTGTTAGCGAGTAGCAGCAGCAGCAGCGCTGCCTATGAAGGCCGCCACTGTGGCTGGCACACGAGGTGGAGTGGAGGTGGGTAGCCAGTACCACGCACGCCTGCCCGGCCACCTTTGTCTCCCCCACTCCCCTTCCATCTGCCAGCCAGGGGCTGTGGTACAGCTGCGATTACAGCGTGAAACTCAGAAACGAAGAGTACGACTTACGGAAGCGCAACATGTCTAAGGAACTGCACAACTACGTTTGCAACTCGCCCGACTATGACAAGATGATCCGGCCAAACCCCACAGGTAGGTAGGGATGGTGGGGGAGGGGTCGCACGATCAGAATACAGCCCCCACTCCCCGGCCCTGTTCTCCTATAACGTGGAAGTGGTGGAAGTCTCGTTCCTGAAGAACACCGCGTGATGGGGGAAAAATATCGCATAGTAATAAAGTGACTATATACATGTAGGGGGTGTACAGCACAAAGTTCCACGATAACGCGTGAGATGATGCGTAACACAGGGCCTGAACAAAGAGTGAGGTACGTGGTTGGGTAGCGTCTACACCAGTGGTTCTTAACCTTTACTGCAGCCTTGCACCCCTGTGGTCCTCAATCGTTAACACATGTATCATGTCAATACAGAGGGTTCGATTAAACAAAGTAGTTGTACTTACGTGGCCCCGTGCTCAATTTGTGTTTCGATGATTTACCTAAAAAAATATGGAAAATGTCTGCACACCCCCAAAAATGCCATCTCGCACCCAGAGGGCGTGCATTCCAATGCCTCCTTGTATGATGATTGTATGATGATGACACTACGCCAAGGCAGCCGTTCGACCATGGCTTATTCCTACTTGCACTGCGATTTAGTTCCGTTTGCTCGATCGCATATTGGATATCGCGGAAAGTGGAAACAAACCAGGCAATGTGCAGTGGACACCGATGGACTATCTGTGCATGGATCGTGATGATGATGATTTATTGCCAGAAATGGTAAAACCTTTTTCATTAAAGAAATATCCCTTTCGTCCCTATAAAATCAACATTTATTTATTTCACCAGGTAAAGCCCACTGAGCTATGTAGCTTTTTTTCAGAATCGAGTTGGCCACAAATGATAGCCCAATGAAGTGGCTTATCACGTGGACATTTATAGTAGCAAATACTCTAACAGGCATGTTTATTCGAAATGTCGAGGGGAACAAACGAAAGGGCCTGGAGTAAAATCCACAAGACCACGGGGAGAGATGCAAACTCCAAATATACAGCAGGCTTCAGGATCGGGATCACACCCACGACCTCCTGTATACCAGGCGAGGTAGTTAGCATCTCGCCACCATCCTGTCATGGCGAGAGACAGAGAGAACACGCAGACTCCAAATATACAACAGCCATTGTCAAGGTCACGGGATTGAGCCCATTACCTTCTATATACCAGTAAAAGCAGTTAACCTATCCGAGCCACCACCCTGTTACGGTGAGAGAGAGAGAACACGCATACTCCAAATATATAACAGCCATTGTCAGGGTGACGGGATAAAGCCGACGACCTCCTGTATACCAGGTGAGGTAGTTGACATCTCATAGCCACCGCATCATCCCCGAAGGTCCACCGAGCCGTCCGTGTGTGTGGTGGACGTCCACACTTTTGGATGAAAGTTTTTGTTTTTGCGCGTGGTTCTGGCGATTCGCAGGCGATGCGACCGACGTGAAAATCACAATCGTCGTCAAAAATTTTGGATCCATCGACGTCTTAAACATGGTGAGTATGCCCACAGTGGGCTTGGAGATGTTAACTCCCTCACCTGGTATGCAGGAGGTTGTGGGTTTGCATGTCTATCTCCCACCGCGGTCGTCGCGTGGATTTTTATCCGGGTCCTCCACATTTAGAATCGACGTCACGCGTTTATAGTATTTGGCTGCTGCTTTAAATGTCCACGTAATGATGATATCAGCCGTTTTAGTTGAGCTATCATTTGTGATAGCTCGGTCGCGTCTGATAAAAGAGCTACGTAGCTCATTGGGCCTTACCAGGTAGAATAAAACGGTCGACTCTCGATTATCCGCGTGCGGTGTATCCAATTTGCAGACTAACTGCGCACCAGAGTTTTTACGTAAATTAATATCTCATTGATTTTCACTTAAGCCCAAATTAATAATACAAAAACAGTGATACATTGTTATTCTTGGAAATGTTTATTGCAAGTCACGTGCTTAAAACGAACAAATATGTTACTTCGATTAATCAAAAATGCACATGATGACCTATCTTTACCACAGTGGGCGGAGTTTGATTTATGTTGATTAGCGTGACTCTGCTATCCGCTTCGCGAGCCGAGTCTTCTCCTGGGCGGGGGCAGGGAAGTGTTATTATCACTGAGCACGAACATCATCGATCGATCAATGGTTGGTATTTGTTCTTAATGTATACCTATATACGTGGTTTTTGGCATAGAGACCTGTATAAAATGGATATTTTTGGATTATCCCCGATTTTGAATTATTGCGGACGTCCTCCCCAAAATTAGCGCGGATAATCGAGAGTCTGTTTAACACAGGCTATCGCGACCATTTCAGGTACTTGAATTGTAAATGTTGTGGGTTTAATCTCCACCACACTAGTTAGTGCTGAACTAGTAAGGAATTGGCACGTTTGTTTACGTGACAAACCTTACTAATTGACTGTGTCCGGTGGTGGTGGGTTTAACACCACATTCATATTTATGCGATCTAACCAAACAAACCTCTATATGGAATCATGAGTCCTACTGTAGTTTACTTCATAGAGTGCCGATCGCACGGCCACACAGGGGCGTTCGTTTGGGAAATCGGTGCGTTAACGACACTTCGACTCAAATGTAGGGCTTACTTGCGCCTGTAACTTGATTCGTGTCCGTGTCGTTTACGACCGTGAATTCAAATGTTCCCGAATGACCCTGCTACACTCGCCCTAAGTGCATTCATATGTTGAACATCTTTCGCACCACCATATTAAAGATGCTCAATATCAGAAGAGCATTGCAGACGGTTCTACACACACATACTTCCCTTCAATCTTGACATTTCAGCTAAAAAGTACGTTTAAAATGGCTTTCTCTCGTTTTAGTTATTTTCAAACGTTTGTCTCACTTCTTCTTTCCTTGCTTGATGTTCACTATTTCTGCCTTCCCATGCTGTTCCCTCTTTCCATTGTTTTATCACCTCCTCCACTCTCAACCTCCACCACCCCTTCCACCACCACTCCCCTCGCACCCTGCACATCAGAGGTACAAAGTCACCGTCACCCCTGCGCATTGTTGGACCAACCACCATCTCATATGCATTGCACGCACAAACAAATTAACACTAAATGTTTATTTTTAGTTTTTTTTGCCTACTAATGTTGCATTGTAATGCATTAATACGCGTGCAATCGTTTTGCACAACATCCCGTTTCTTTATGGTGTTGTTTCATTAACTTTTGAATAACAATAAAAGCACAAACTCTAAATGATAGAAAATTCTTGAATTCATGGATAGTCAATATAATTACGTATGAAAAGTAATGTTATAAATGACCGCCTGTGTTGCGTTGCCAAATCCGTGCTCTTTCAACGGCATTTCCCATCACTCTCCTCAATCAAAGCACACGGGCACTCTAGGCGGCTTTGATGGTCTCTGGGCTGCAATTCTTCCACCAGCTGAATCTTATAGAGAAAAATATGCAAGTCCTGCACCAAAATTTGCTGCAGCGACCGTCGTGCGATCCCCAATTGAGCGACGGAGCGTCTCCTCGTCTAAGTTTCGGGGTTCTCATCGACACATTCCCTTACTTGCTCAATAGAAGTCGGAAATCGACTGGTTCGAGGTCTGCCAACACGTTTTGCATCCGCCGTTGTCCTGATTTCCTGAATCGGGAAATCAATGCCCGAATACAGTGCGGAATTGGAGCCGTACGGGTCTTAAACTATCCGTGATGGTCTCATAATTTTAAATTGAACAATTGTTTCAGAAATTTATTTCAACAATTTTTGCACGCTGCTGAGATGTATACCGGTTGATCATAAACTCGTAGGCTTCTACTTTATTTCAAAAAAATGTTTATCCTTTGACACGAAATACCGCTATTTAAATCAGGTAGTTACTTATGGCCCACTGTATTATCTGAAAATAGTTGATGACGAGAATGATACATCTTCCTATCCCGTTATTACCCCCATCTTATTGTTTCCTCTTCCCATTGTACTATCACATCCTCCACCTTCCACCTCCTTCACCCACCTTACCGCCTGCCCTGCCCCGCCCCACTCAGGAATACAAAGTCACCGTCATCCTTGTGCAGTGGTGGATCGACCACCGTCTCCGTATGAACTGCAGCACGGGGGGCGACACTTACATGGACATGTCCGACGCGACGTTGGGCTGCCTGTGGAGGCCCAGCGTCTTCTTCGACAACGAGAAGAGCTCCGTGGTGCACTCCGTGACGGCACCCAACAGCATGCTGAGGATTTACGACGACGGGAATGTCTTTTACACCTTGAGGTTGGCAGTACAAAATGGGCGTACTCAATCCTCGCCCCCTTTATGAGAAAACGCCCCCATCAGCTCATCGTCTGCTTAACATAATCACACTGGATTATTGTTGCCCCCCCCACCGCGCACACCCTCCGATTAACACGCTTGGTGGCTATGTACAGTGGCACGAAAGACGTTCAACATGCATTTGTATATATGTACATACAGGTCTCTTGCAGGTCTTGAACTGTGAAGGTCTGGTAAACCTGCTTCCTCTCTGCTGACCTTCGTGTTGCATGTTCCCCATGTCCTCTAATGTGCATTTGTCTTTCAGAATCACCCTTACCCTCAGCTGCCACATGGATCTCCATAAATACCCCTGGATTAAACAGACCTGTCCCATGACGATTGTCAGCGGTAAGGCACGGTTGGCTACTGTACAGTGTGAAAGAAGTTCAACGTACATCCATACAAGTGTGAAAGCCTAGGGGTCAAGGCCAGGTGTATGGCCCAGCGGGTCTCTGTCAGAGACTTGTCGGTCAGAAATCAAGTCCAGAAAGAACACAACGCAACTCCAAATATTCTGTTGCAGCGCATGACGATGGCAGAACCAATACGTTTAGGAGTTCGATCCCCAATGCCCGAGGTCTGCTGCATATCAAGTGGGCTTCAAGAGAGTTTGTGTCGTGTTGCTGTTCCTCCTCCTATGTAGAAGTGTAGACTACAGTGGGTTTACTCTACGATCCATAGGTTATCGTTGCATGGTCACAATTGCACTCATGTGGCTAGTCTTTTAGCACCGACTTATGAAGGTGATGTGGTGCAACATTGACCTGTTGAAGTTCTGATGTGGTTGATGGTTACACCAGTGTCTTAAAGGAGGAATGACAAAGCCAGAAGATGCTCCAATGTTTTGGTCTTGAATAAGGTGTTCATTTTGGACATCTCAGAAACATAATATTTATACTGGAGTAAATCCGATGAGCTATAAAGCTATGCTTTGGGTCTTTCAGTAAAGTCACGTAGATAGGTTAAAAGAAAATATCAAAAAAACTACGACGTTTTGATCACAATGCAAGCGGTCATCAGGCTTTTTTCAGCCTTTTTGCAGCCCGATGACGACTGCTTGAGTTGCGATCGAAACGTTGTAGTTTTTTATTTTTGTTATTTTCTTTAAAACTACTTACGTGACTTTACCGAAAGACCCAAAGAATATGAATTCCTGCAGTCACGCAAGCTTTAAGTCAAGAGCTATAAAGTTCCTTTTCGCAACCGTCCAGTAGGGGCACGAGGTCGGAATATGACAACTAACGATACATAAACACGATAGGAGTCCAGTAGATGTTTGTAGTATTCCACTCTGTTCGCCTACGTTCTTCTGGGTCTACTTGAGATTCTAGGGTGGTGACAGAACGATCCCAGAAGGGGAATCCGTACTTTACTCGATGGTGAGGGACATTGTTGAGGTCTTCTTGGCTGAAAAAATGTTAAAGCCCTTGGAGTTTGTGCAATTTCTTTGAAAATATTTGATGACAGAGTGTTCGCAGGAAACTGGGAGCCAGTGGAATTGGGGTCGGTCTCAGACTCAAAATGTGATTTCTCTATCTATTGTGTTGCATGTGGCGGGCCTCCGGGGAGACAGCCAGCTACACGGACAAGGATGTGTTACTGCAGTGGCACAAGACGCAAAACATGACGCTACCCGGGGAGCTCAACGTCTCCCAGTTTGATGTCGATACCAGTGTCACCCTGAGCAACAACACCAGCAATGAAATCATGGGTAGATCTTTTTTTTTTCCCGCAGGCCTGAATGTAATCCCCACCCGACTCTCCCTCAACAACACACTCAGGTTTAACCAATTGGGCCAATGCATTTGCATCATAATCAGCTCCAGCAAGGTGGTTCTAGTGAACTCCATTACTAGTTCCGTCACCGTGCATGGTTGGCCATCACATTTTTTAGTTTTTATTCAGCATCTAATATGTAAAAATAAAAAAATAAAAATAAAGTAAATCACCTTTTCTTTATAAGTGTTATGGCTGAGTGGAGGATAAATTGTCAACAATATGGCCCGTGGGCTCATCTGAAGCACTAAAGCTATGCTACTGCCTGTTGCACCCACCTTTCCTCTATAGGCCCCGACCCTTCCTATTTAGGCCCCACCCCTTCCTTTCACCCAAGATCCTTCCACTTTAGACCCTGCCCCTTCCTATTTCGTCCCCGCCCCCTTGCTCTTTTGGCCCTATCCTTTCCTCTTTAGGCCCTGCCCCTTACTATTTAGGCTCTGCCCCTTCGGAAGTGGTAGTGCAGGGAGAGGGGCGGTGTGCACATGCAGCAAGAGGTTGTGGTGGGCAGGCCCAGTAGGCAGGGGTGGGGCAGAGATGGTCACAGCATCGGGCACTTTCAGATGCTTCTGTGGCCGTCCATAAAGCTTTCCCCGATATTAGGAATCAACTACAGCTCTGCACTTTTAAATCATCTAAATTGAAAAAGTATTTCTTTAGAACTGCTTTTGTGTTTAGTTTGTTGTCATTCCCCCACACCTCTTATTAGCGCGGTTGGCTACGTATGGTGCGAAAGAAGTTCGACATACATACATGTATACATAGAGGGGTGATTTGGGTGCAGTTCTAGTCCTGAAATTCAAAGTTAAGCTGTTAAACGAGCTTCTATATAACCCTAACCCCGCTGTCTAACACTAATCCAATGCGAAGATTAGTAGATTGTTTAAACTTTAACCTACCATTTTTAACCCCCTATGCCTATATTTGGCAATTAGAATTGACCACATCATCGTTGGATCTACCTATAACTCTCTTACCCACCTTCTCCCTAGGAAATATATCGCGCCTGCATGCCGAGTTCAAGCTGTGTCGGTCAATATGTTCCTCCGAAAAACATATCTTCATTTCAAGCGGCCTCATCACCCTCCTGTCCTGCTTTTCGTTCCTGATCCCCACCGAGAAGGCGCCGGCACGTGTTGCCATCAGCGTCGCCACCACCATCTCGATGACCATGCAGTGCGCCAGCACTCACGCCAACATGCCCAAGGTGCTCGTCAGCCTCCAGAGTGAATTTGTTTTATTTATTCAACATGAGCCCAGTACGGAGCATAAAAGCGTAACAATGGGACCGAGGGCACTGAAACGCCACAGATAAAAGTGCTCCTGGACGCCACGGTGGCGAAATGTCAACTACCTTGCTCTGTATACAGGAGGTCGTGGGTTCGATCCCGACCCTGCTGCCTGTTGTGTGGTTGGAGTTGGCATTTTCTCCCCGTGGACGCATGGATTTTTTTCTGGGTCTTACGGTTATTCCCTCCACATTTAGATTCAACATCACATGTTTAGAATATTTGGCTGCTATACATTTTAACGTGATAAGCCACTTCGTTGAGCTATTATTTGCGTTCAGGTCACATGCAAAAAAAGAGCTTTGTAGCTCAGTAGGCCTTACCTGGCAAAATAAAAAAAGTTAATAGTTTCTACATCATGAGGCCTCCTTTGCCAGTACTAAAATATAATAATAGAGTTTGTTTCCCCTTTTTTCTGGCGACAAAACTGAAACCTTTTGCAAGGAATCATATTTACATTAACCACAATACTTGCAGTCAGAATGCAAACCAAAAAAACAACACTCCGATACTCTCTGATAATTTATGCATTGTCCTTGAAACTGATATGTCCACACCAGAGAGAGCTTTCCTTAGAGCCTAGTCTAATACGGTGTTCGACCAGATGACGCCGAAAAGGCGTGGACCAATCAGTTTCAAGGACAATGCATAAATTATCAGAGAGTATCAGTGTTGTTTTTTTTGTTTGCATTCTGACTGCAAGTATTGTGGTTAATGTAAACATGATTCCTTGCAAAAGGTTTCAGTTTTGTCGCCTGAAAAAGGAGAAAACCCCTATTATTAAGTTAATAGTTTGTTCGTATACCGAAATTGTTTATTGAATAACTTAAAACATCAGTACTCTCAGGATGTGTTCCCAGGCTGTGTAACCTACCCATGTTATACTACTAGAATGTCGGCCGCCTGATTCTAGCTCCTGCAGAGGGCTTCTCGGCGCCTCGCCCATCATCCTCACTGATGTCCTTTTATCCCCCCCAATGTGTGCAGATACTACCGACTCCATTGTATATAGGGTTGGAATTGTTTTTGGGGGAGGGGTCCACAATCTTTTGAAACCTTTTGGACCAAAATTTTACCCCGACATCTGGGGGGGCACTTTCTTTAACTTTTTGATTCAGGCCTTTTGAAAGGCTCTTATAATTTAGTTGACGGACAGACAAATGGACACATGGAACGCCGGACTTTATAATTGATAAACACATCATTATTTACCATTCATATTGTAAACAAATACTATTTATATTGAAAATATTATATATACTGTTACGTATAAAAATTTGTAACTGACGTAAAATAAAAGTGTACTGTACTGTAAAATATATTCACTCACCGGTGTACTCTTCGGTGCAGTCAAGAGGTTGCACTGCCCACCAAACAAACACCATAGCTCCATAACGTAGCACGTTGTTGCGCACTGATTGGTCGAGTCGAATGTAAACACATTCTAAGACTCATTGCGATGCACAACGCTCAAGAAACCGTCTATTTATATAGTACTGCAGATACTTTTATTACGAATTAATTTCAGTGCACTTATTACCACATTTTTTACAGTTAATATGATAATGAATCCAGCATTCGTTAAAATAAAACTGTAAATCGAATATTCGCATATAGAGGTATGACTGTTAACTCAATAATTTATCCTCAAAATTTATGACAATTTAATCACCTTCCAATATCTATAGGTGCGTTAATTCACCTCCAGTTGATCAAAAACAACAAAGTTGTCAACAAACCACGTTTCTGACGCTTGTTTTTGTTGACATTTATCAGCCAAAAAAGGCAAATTGCGCAACATTCAACACTTAAAATAAACATCTCGTTCCCACAACAGGGACCAGGAGACACCACATTAGCCCACACAAAACACTAACCCTAATAAATCCCCGTGTAGATGGAACTGAGAAGCATATTTTTGGGGGAATGTCCGGCCCGCGGGCCGTATAAGGCTTGCGAAATCATTTGGTCTGTTCCAGCCATCACATTAGGGGTGAGTTAATTCAATGTTTGACCAAATATAACAGGCTAATTTTTAAGTTGATGATTTTGTATGGCCCGCGAATGATGTTATAAATATCCAAATGGCCCTTGGCAGAAAAAAGGTTCCCCACCCATGATTCTAAGCCCTCGCCCATTTACCGCGGGTATTTAAACATTACATTATCAAAATTAACATCAAATGCCACTCTATATTTACTCGCACAATCATATGAATCAACAACAAATGCACATGTATTATAAGCTAATATTTACCTCTGCTAACATGTATGAATTTAACGTTAAACAGCGAGGCTTTAACCACACGTGGCAGAACCAGTTCTGAATAGTGCCCTGACCATGAATCTTACAGCTGCTGTCTGGGCGTGGCCTAGTATAAACATGTGGTTAGGAATCCAATCACGAAGCATCCTCGTCTAAGTGACGCACAAGACACCTCACTCCATGTGGCAATGTCCCACCTAACGTGGTATTGAGCAGTAAGATTCGGCACCTCTGGACTGCAACACACTGGCTTTAGTGCACATTCACACGTGAGATTCCTCAAATGTTATCCTACACCATCTACACTGGCAATGATTGAAATGTATAACAAATCACTCTTTAATGTCACCATGTGTGTGTGTGCACGTGCAGGTTCCGTACATGACATCCATAGATAATTGGATGGTCAAGTGCCTCCTGTTCATCATTTCCATCTTTATCATAAGCATTCTGCAGATTTGCTATTACTCTAAGGACAACTCGGCACAAAATAAAGCTACTGCACTGCAGCCACCAGAGACACAAAATGTAAGGATCAACATGTGTAGTAGCAATGACACGGGTATGATGTCGCGGCCAATATACATATCACAAGCAAACGTCAGCAGGTGTTAACTGTCCCTTCCATCAGCTCATTGGCGAGACCTCGACATTGGAATTTAGCGCCTGTAATTATTACCGTTTCCAAGATAAGAATAAATGACTATGGACTGTGGACCAAATTCGTATATCATTTTAGTCCATGCTCCTTCACCGGAGAAGGAATAGCAACATTTCTCTCCAACATGTATCGACATCTGCTATTTCCCTTCTGACTAATGCATTCGTGCAATACAGCAGGACTCCTGCTGTATAGCCCCCCCCCCCCACCCTGCTACGTGGACGGTGGTGGCTTTTTTTAAGGCCACACGCAGGGGTGTTATTGCCGGTGTGCTGAGGTTCTCTCTGTAACGCGAGTCAATGCCCCAACAGAAACAACGGAAGCCAGCTGCCACTCCGTACCATGATGTAAGCGGCGAACGAGATCCCCTACTCGGCAGTAACCGTCACCGACCGGTAAGTGCGTGGCTTGCAGTGCATCCTGGCAACCCATGAACCGACAGATCAATGAATGGGCCTATGGACTGTCGCCATGCAACCCAGACTCTGGACCTAATCGTAAACCCAGAGACACACGGGGACATAGACACCCACGAAAATAAAACAAAGATCCATAGACACATTCAAGACAAGCCACAGTAGTACGATTGTTACTATGGAATCCAAACTATATACCGCATATTCTTGGTTCTTTCGGTAAAGTCACGTAGAAGGGAAGTAATAAAATAATAAAAATAAAACATAATAAAAAAATTCTCACGACGTTTCGGCCACAACACAAGCAGCCGTCCTCAGGTGAAGACCAGGTCTGTCGAGGCGACGGCGTCTAAAAGAAAACACCACCACGCTTGGAGCGTCTATTTAAGCTGGTTTGGAAGGGCGGAGGGGGGGGGGGAATGCGCATTGACAAAATAATCTGCATATCAAGAGGAATTTAGCATATTTATGGGAAATGCAGGAGGTACGTAGATGACACTTTTGTCATCTGGCCACATGGCCTGCCTGTTCTAGACCAATTTCTCGACCACATCAATTCCATACACCCAGCCATCAGATTCACCATGGAAGTCGAAAAAGATTGCAAGCTACCCTTTTTGGATGTCCTAATTAAAAGGAGACCTGATGGTTCAATGAGCCACTCTGTCTACGGGAATGCCACCCATACGGATGCTTACCTAAAACCGGATTCCCACCACCATCCATCCCAGAAGAATTCCCTCATCAAGACTCTATACCATAGAGCCCAATGCATTTCCGACCAGGAACACATTGCCAGTGAACTCAAACACGTACGCCAAGCTCTTAAGGCTAATGGTTACTCCGACTACACAATCCGCAAAGCCATCACTCCAACCATCAAGAAGGATCCTGATAAATGTTTTTTTACCCTTCTATCTGGCAACAAAACTGACACCTTTTTACAAGGAGTCATGTTTGCATAGATCGCAATACCTGCAGTCATAATACAAACAAAAGAACATAACTCTGATAATGTGCACTGTCCTTGAAGTTGATTGGTCCACACCCGAGACAGCTTTCCTTAGAGCCTAGTCTCACATGGGTTGGACCAGATGACGCCATCTGGTCCAAAAAGGGCTTCATAGCTCATCGGATTCCTATAGGCTAAATAAATATTCTGATGATCACCCCCTTCCCCTCTGTCTGTGACCCTCCCCCTGACATCTGCAGCATGGAGCTCCTGTAGGCTGCTGCCTGCACCGATGTTGCTGCAAACCAATCAAAGACAAAAGTCTTGAAAAATATGTGAACAGGATATTTTTTTTCATTTCTATGTGTGCCTTCATTGGCCTTTTCGCTTCATTCTGTGAAAATTGTCTGCCTATGTTGCTTGATATACTAAAACCCTATCCTTGACCCAAATAATCCGTGTTTCATCGAATCAATTGTCCAATTAGCAATGATCAAATCAATTGCTTAATTAGCAAGTATGGAATCACTAGTTCAAGTATCTATCATCTGATCACTTGCTTATTAGCGATTATGAATCACTTCCTTAATTAGCAATTATCGAATCACTTTTTCAACCAACAAATATCGAATCACTTGTTCAATTTGCGATTATAGAATCAAGTGTTCAAATCGTGATTATCAAATCATGTGTTCAATTTGTAATTATTGAATTTTTTGCCCAATTTCTGGATATCTGTGAAAAAGAGCTTTATAGCTCATGGAATTTCTCCTTCAGTCTGTAATAAAGATTATGATTCTGATGCTGAATTATGGATCGTCGAGATTTGTTCAATTATCAATTATCGAATCACTTGTCCAATTAGCGATTGATATGTGAAAATCTTCTATGGTGGGATATGCAAATGTTATATTTAACGTGATGCACAGAAAAGGAGAGAGATGGATGGATGGATGGCCGTTAGAATGGAGACTAAATGGTACAGGACAACAATTTGATGATGAAGCAGCACAAGTACACACAGGGGCAGTCCTAGACTAGCTGCCAGCAACTGGCGCCCTCGGCGAACCATGCAATCGGCGCCCCCACTCCCAAACCCCAAGGGCAGATCTAGGCTGAGTTTTTTGGTAAACTGGAAAATATTTTGCCCCGATTTTCCGTTTAATGTTTTTTAAAGCGTTTTTTTTTAACAGGGGCATAATTATTTGGGGTGTCCATCTGTCTATCCAACCGTTACATTCTCGGAAATGTCGGGAAATGAATTATAACTCATATTCCCTCTGTACGCACATGGGATTTCAAACAGACATCTTCGTTATTTTATTTATTTTTTTCTTTGTATTTTTTCACCCAATTTGGCGCCCCAGTTAACTTGGCGCTCTAGGTGAGCTCCGAATTCGCCTATACGGATGAGCCCCTGAGTACCCAAGACTTGACAGTGCACGAAAAAATTGTGCAAAATAAGCCTGTTCTGTTATAACGCCACGTGTTTTCATAACGAAAATTGGAGATACAAAGCGATGTGTTATTAGGGAACACATTCTTCTATAACACGGATGTGAATTAAATACGTGGTCGAGTGAATGGAACTACATCGCAATAGTAGGAATAAGCGGGCATACGGCTGCATCGGCGTAGCGTCATCATCATCGCAACAAGAAATTGGGATGCTGCTCAATGCTTCTAGATATTACCCACGCGAGCCTCAGTCTTTCTTTGGCCTGCGTACGCATCTCACATGTTATCATCAACTGTGCTTTACCCCATATATTATTTATCATAATGTGAATTTGTCCACAACGCAGTGTTCTTCAGGAATGTAACTACTACTACCGCGAATAGGAGAAGGTACTGTACACATGATATGCAGGGCGAGACGCGACAATAGAGAATATAAAATCGTCAACATTAATGGATGATAAGTCCTCTATTTACGTTGGGAATGTGTCCCTGGAAAACACGACGTTTGGCTAAAACAACGCAAATCAAAACCTATTTTATCGTTAACTTAACAATGTACATTTTGGATACGTTCCTGGTAGAGAGGGGGGGTAATTTTTAGAGTCCAAATTTGCAGACAAAATCTGGCTGTCGCCTGATGAAGCTAATTGTAATTACTGGCGAAACGTCGTACTCAGATTGTAAATGTTGTGGCTTTGCTCTCCAACACACTTGAGTGCTGTACGAGTAACACATTGGCATGTTCTGTTCACGTGACAAACGTTACTAATTGGCTGTGGCGGGTTTAATGACAACATTGATATATTTATGCGATCTAACCTAAAAAAAACCTGTATTATGAAAAATATGTATTTTGTTTATTTTACCAGGCCCACTGAGCTACGTAGCTCTTTTGCATAAGCGACCTGGTCATCCCAAATTATAGCTCAACGAAGTGGCTTATCACGTGGAAATTATATAGCGGCTAAATACTCTAAATGCATGTATTTTCTAAATGTGGAGGGAAAAACTGGAGGATCCGGAGAAAATTCCATGCAGACTCCAAATATACAGCAGGCATCAGGGTCGGGATCGGATCTACGACCTCCTGTATACCAGGCAAAGTAGTTAACATCTCCTAGCCACCGCGGCGCCTCCTCGCCACCATGACACCCCTGTTGGCCTTATCTGGTGAAGTAAAAAATATAGTAAAGTGAGTCTCAAAAAAATTACAAAAGATAGCCAAAAAGAGGTTAGGTAACAAGTTTATATACATAACGTGAGTTAATCTAATATGTGCTTACCAGAGATTATGGCATTTAGAGAAGGTAGCACGGTATCCAGTATGGCGATATTGTTTATCACAGTCTCTTCTTGTATAATGCAGTAGTAGTAGTTGCGTTCCTGAATAACAGTCTGCGATAACACCGTGAGATGCATAAGCAGGGCCCAATGCCCTCTTTGATGATGATGATGATACGCCGAGGCAGCCGTACGACTGGCTTATTCCTACCGGGCGACGTAGCTCCAGTCACTTGATCGCGTTGATATCTAATTCGCGTCCACATCATCATTAACAAATAATAATGTATTTCCTCTAATACATTCGTCGCGGTGTGCATCGAATTTGCGTTATGAAAACAACACGCGCTGTAGGTGACGTCATGACACCCCCTACGCGACGCATTGCACTACAGCGCATCGCGTCGCTGAGTCGTACACTGCCCAAAATCGTCGCGTTCTTTTCTTTCGATAAAAACTTCGTAGTGAATCAACGCGTTCATAGTGAAACGCCGTAAATTAGGAGCAAAGTAAAATAGAGTACGTATTACATTGTACAAACGCCGCAACATTACACAAAAGCCCCAAAGTGCACGGTAAAAAAATGTGCGCTCCCTCTATGTGCTGTACGTGATAAGCCACGTAACGATAAGCGACCGTCGAGCTATCGTTTGTGATGGCCAGTTTGCTTTTGGGATTATTTTTTTTTTATTAAACTAAAAGTGGCCTTACCTGATAAAATAAAATAAAAATGTTAATAGTCTAGTTTAGTCAATGGGTCTCGATCTCGATTTAAAGCTTTCGTGACTGCAGGGATTCATCTTCTTGGTTCTTTCGGTAAAGTCACGTAGAAGGGAAGTAATAAAATAATAAAAATAAAAATAAAACATAATAAAAAATTGTTTTATTATGTTTTATTTTTATTATTTTATTACTTCCCTTCTACGTGACTTTACCGAAAGAACCAAGAAGAGGGGTCTCGATCTCTATTGGTCTATATGTGTCTCTATGTATCTATACAGGTCTCTATGCGTCTCTATGGATCCCTTATTTCTAGATTTGAAGCTTTCGTGACTGCAAAGATTTATATTTTTAGGTTTTTTCGGTAAAGTCACGTAGGTAAAAAATTTTAAATTAATAAAAGTAAAATAAAATAAAAATCACGACGTTTCGGAGGCAACACAAGCTTCCGTCTTCAGGTGGAACGGTCACAGCCACGACAGCTGTATCAAGTAATTGAGAGATCACAAGAAATACCACTCCGTATATATAATGGTTGAAGAGGGGAAGGGCCAAGTACGGCACACTTTTTATTAATATGGTAAGGTGAGGCTTAAGACTAAGAATGGACTGCATAACAAAAGACTAAATCTTTGTTATGGAGAGGTGCGATTTATGACTACGCCTAGCCTACCTAACAAAAGTGTGAAAAAAGAGAAAAAACTAAACCTGGTAAAAGAGAACTGGCTGTCTATCAATAACCTGTAATAGTTGTCTGTCAAATAAGATTGGCCAAATAAGTGTAGTTAATGATAATTGGTTCTTTACCCTTCTATCTGGCAACAAAACTGACACCTTTTTACAAGGAGTCATGTTTGCATAGACCGCAATACCTGCAGTCATAATACAAACAAAAGAACATAACTCTGATAATGTGCACTGTCCTTGAAGTTGATTGGTCCACACCCGAGACAGTGCACATTATCAGAGTTATGTTCTTTTGTTTGTATTATGACTGCAGGTATTGCGGTCTATGCAAACATGACTTCGTGTAAAAAGGTGTCAGTTTTGTTGCCAGATAGAAGGGTAAAGAACCAATTATCATATTTTTACTGGCAAATGAGGTTCCCATAATGTAAGTGTAGTTAAATCGTTTTTGCATGGTTAATCACATCTTTCCAATGATTACTCAGTTTGTAACCATCATCACGGTTGAAATTATGTCTGTGTTTGTATATTTGTATGGCTTCGTGTACAAACCTTTCATGATAGCCAGGAGGTACTCTGCAAACCTCCTGGCTATCATCAAAGGTTTGTACACGAAGCCATACAAATATACAAACACAGGAGGTACTCTGCAAACCTCCTGGCTATCATCAAAGGTTTGTACGCGAAGCCATACAAATATACAAACACAGATATAATTTCAACCGTGATGATGGTTACAAACTGAGTAATCATTGGAAAGATATGATTAACCATGCAAAAAAGATTTAACTACACTTATTTTGACCATCTTATTTAACAGACAATTATTACAGGTTACTGATAGACAGCAAGTTCTCTTTTACCAGGTTTATTTTTTTCTCTTTTTTCACACTTTTGTTAGGTAGGCTAGGCGTAGTCACAAACTGCACCTCTCCATAACAAAGACTCAGTCTTTTGTTATGCAGTCTATTCTTAGTCTTAAGCCTCACCTTACCATATTAATAAAAAGTGTGCCGTACTTGGCCCTTCCCCTCTTCAACCATTATATATACGGAGTGGTATTTCTTGTGATCTCTCATTTACTTGATACAGCTGTCGTGGCTGTGACGGTTCCACCTGAAGACGGAAGCTTGTGTTGCCTCCGAAACGTCGTGATTTTTATTTTTATTTTATTTTACTTTTATTAATTTTAATTTTAATTTTTTTACCTACGTGACTTTACCGAAAAAACCTAAGAATATGGATCCCTTATTTTTTATACATGTAGTTTTGGTGATCTGTGCCAAATGCCTGACACTTTGTACGCTGTGTGTAACGCTGCTGACTCGGCGACGTGGATCCGAGTGACGTCACAAATTATCCAGTAGAATTTCTGCACACGCTAACACCCGGAATGCTACCTCATGAATTGGCTTTGAAAAATGGAACTATTGTAATGCTGATTCGACATCTCGACCCCAAAAAAGGATTATGTGCAATGGCACACATCTGGTGATTCGTGAAATTCACCGTTATTTTGTTGTGGCTGAAATCATTTCAGAATGCAATCGTCCAGATATTGTCTTAATTCCCAGAATTGATCTGGCACAACTGATATGAATTTAACATTTATTTAGAGGCTAAAACAGTTTTCAAGAATTCCTGCATTTTCCATCACTGTTAATAAGTCACAAGGACAATTTTTTTAGAATGGGGGACTTTAGCGCAACGAATCTGTTTGTTCCACATGGCCTTTATATTGCTTTGTCAAGATGCAACAATCCAACCAACATCAAAGTGCTGATTCAACAAACTTTATCTCAAGGAAAACTTTTGGGAGATGATCGTCAATTTACACCAAATGTGATAGATACATTTTTTTATGAAATACATTCCATACAATCTAAAAATTCGTCGTTTTTATTACATTTATATGAACTCATCATATGACAGAAAATTACACTAGTGAATATATATTGGT